CACCGTTCGGGCTCTGGCTGATTGTACACACTGCTCCATCTTGATTCCTTTTAACTCTTTCTCTTTTAGGAAAACTTACTTCTTTTTGAAAATTTCTTTCTCAAATCCTCAGTTTGAGTCCAGACATACCCGAAGGTGTATCCGAATCCCTCAAACCAAGGCTCTGATACCAACTTGTAACGACCAAAAATTTCAAATAATTTTTCTCTTTTTAAAACATAATAAAACGCATCCCATAATTCTCAAAATCACATATGTCTCAATGTCATAAAGAAAACATAATCCCAGAATCACAAAACAATCTCCTGCCAGTGTGTACAATCATGTCGGCGCCTTCCCGCGATCCTCGGAACTACCTGAAACACATAACACATGACACGGTAAGCATAAAGCTTAGTGAGTTCCCCAAAATACCACACACAACTCGTAAGCCACTTGAGGCTACAACTCAGTGAGACCCTCTGGTCAATGTGTCTCAGTAGGACCCTCTGGTCCTACAACTCGGATGGATCCTCTGATCCCTCTACTCAGTACACAGATAAACACAGCAGTAATACAATAATAATTCACAATACAATAAGCAGGATATCTCAATACACAAACAGATACACATAAGACCCTCCGGTCACACATAGGTTAGCACTCAAGGTAAGTATAGTGAGAAGACTCACCTCATAATCGGTAAGAATAGACACGCCCTCAAAGATCCCGAATCACCCTCCTCCTAATACAGTTTATAACAATTCCAATCAATATCTCATTCTTACACAAGCTTCTCTTTCTACTCTTATCTTGGGTAAAAGTCCATTTTACCCTTCTCACAACTATGGTTGGCCAACACCCTAAAGTCAGCCCAAAGTCAACTCATGTCATAGGCATGACTCCTCGAGTACACTCGTGTGACTCGCCGAGTCTGATCGATCCTCTGAGTCCTTGGAAACGATTCAACTCGTCGAGTTACCCTAACTCGTCGAGTTATGGCATCGTCAACTCAGACAGGGAAAACCCTACCCGACTCGTCGAGTCAGCCCCTTGACTCGGCGATTCTATTCAGACTCTTTTCTTATTCAGACGATTTCAACACGGGGAGATCACCCAAACCTTAGATCTATATTCCTTAAGCCCCTTTTTCACGTAAAGGTGCAACCTTTACTTCTCATGCATGGCATTAATGGCTCAAAATGCCAAATCTCACCTTAATAAAGGCTTTTCTCTCAAGTCACTCACCATGAGTGAGTAAAGCAGGGACATCTGGACTCTAGAGTCTTTATTTGGTCCAGATCTAAGTTATCACTCTCTATGAACTCCTAAATCAACATAGATTTACATAAGAGGGAAAGAGGGAAAACCCTAGGATTCAAAATCTCAAGATCTATATGAAAGGGTTGAAATGGAGAAGTAGAATACCTCTAAATGATGCTCTGGAGTGTACTAGCCTCAGATCCACTCCTTCTTCTTGCTCCTAAGTTGAATCCTTCCGTCCTCTTACTAAAAATCACCAAAATGAATCACTCACACACTCTCACAGCTACGAACTCGTTTAGGGTTTTCTCTCCAGGGTATGCAACCGCAAGGAGGCCATAAAGGGTCTTTAAATAGGCCAGAGGCCCAGAAATTTAGGGTTTCTGCCGTCAGCGCTGACTCGTCGAGTCGTCTCATCGACTCGTCGATTCAGTTCACTAATACACGTCACCAGGTCGCGACTCTACTCGACGAGTCCAGACACTGACTCGTCGAGTCACTCTTAAAATTCTCATATTAAATAATGAATATTAATATACCTGGAAACCGGATGTTACAACTATTATATTTGTACACTAACAATATCCAAATCCATAAGTTATAGATATCATGAGTATGTTTAATGATATCTATTACAACAGGATCCTCAACGATAAGGACATCATTGTATGTTTCCATTATATATTTTAGACTTCCATTAGTTGCCTTCATATACCAGATTGCCCATGTGTGTTTAGTTTATATGCATTTAAGCTTTCAGAAATCATAACAACCGTAGATTACACTTAAATACCTAAAAATTATAAGGCTTCCATAAGTTAGAATTTTGTTAATTTGCTAACAACTAAAACTCCCAATATCTGCATAATACAAAATAACAACTATGAATTTAGAAATAAAGCCACAACAAAAATTGATCATTTCTGAGTGTTGAAAATTACCTCTTCGCATTAGGTTACTTTAAAGTGGCCCGTTTACACACTCATTGAGAAATAGGCATTGTAAATGGGTCAAATTCTAAGTGTGAAGTGGTCATTTCTAACATTAAGAAGTGGTTATTTCCCACATTGAAATTTGTTACTAAGAAATGTATTAAAAACTTATTTTTTCAATACTTAGAAATGGTGATTTCCTACATTGAGAATTATTAACTCTCATATAGGAAATTTGAAAGTGGATCAGTGTTTTAAATTAGGGTCGACATAGATTTCAAATATATTTTCATTTATATTTTATTTTAGAACAAAAAAAAGAAAAAAAAACCTTAAAATTTTGCTTTTATACATAAATACTTCTCGGAGTCATTTTGTAAGCCCTACTTGGGGACTCGACCCATTTTCCCTCCAGTAAAAAAAATGGGGAATCTAACTTATATAAATCAGTTTTTTAAAGAAAATAACTATTATTTCGGTTTCTAAAAAATAATCATTTTCTCCTAAATGTCTCATATCGGACTACTGTTCACATTCTGGACTATTTTTCAATTTTATCAAAGAATGCTCAATTTCGGGTTTGATCTTCAAATTCTGGGATTATTTTTTTGTTTTTCTTATATTATTGATGCAAAATTTGGGACTGACATTCTCATGTGGATTTGTGAAGGACTTACATGTTGATGATGCTTTAGAATAGGTGTTTTAGAATAGAATGTTATGAGTTCCATAGAGACTATACATAAAGTATTTTTAACCTCACTCAACATTCAATTTTATATCTCATATTTCATTTTGGTTGGGGCTTACAACACCGACATGTCCAGTCAAGGATATGGTAATTGAAACACAAATATCATTATTTTCTGATAACATAATGTATGTTAAATTTGTGAAATATTATGTTTCTATTGACATGTAATGTAATGAAGTGAACTTGAAAACATTATTAAGAACAACGGTTAGATCTATTATTACCTAGGCACATTAGTTGTATCTAATATTCTAATTAAAAGTTAACTAACTCGAAATAAATATTTTTAAAAAATGAACATAAGTTAATGTACATAATTATTTAATTAGGTGTTATAATTTGGAAGATGCTAAATTTTAGTTTAAGGTAATAGTGTGTATACTAAATATATTGACTGTGTTTTGGTTCTAGTTGAAAAGTCAAGGAGATTACAAAGTTATGACTAGGACAACTTTTATTGCAATAAAAGGTGAGTACAAAGGGTCCCAAAATTTTGGTTCGCTTAGTGCCCCTAAACTGGTTAACCGCCCCTGGTAGTGATGATAGCGGTAGGTGGGTGGTGGTGCTTTGCAGTATGTCACCTTGTCCAGACCAGACTAAACCATTGGTGTTTTGGTTGCTCACTTTGGTTCTAATCTTTTTTTATCCCAACAACAATATATCTTCAATATCTTGCAGCATGTTGGTCTCAATGATGACAATATTGTTTCCCACGCATCTTCCGATTGGTACCTCTCTGTCACCAAGACAGACCCCTATTTGAAAACCCAACTTGTTATCGTCAAGTGGTTGGTGCTTTGCAGTATGTCACCTTGTCCAGACCAGACATCACCTATGCAGTCAACAAAGTCTATCAGTTTATGCATTCACCAACTAACAATCATTGATATGCTGTCAAACGGATCCTCCGATATCTTAAGGACACCATTAACTTTGGTCTATGCATCAAACCCTCATGTGACAACACCATACATGCTTATGGAGATGCGAAATCTCCACTGGTTACTGCTTTTCTTATGCTAATTGGGCTGGTTGTCCAGATGAGCGTTGATCTACCGGGGGATATGCTATATATCTTGGTTCCAACTTAGTTTCTTGGTCAACAAGAAAATAGAAGATTGTCTCTCGGTCATCTACTCTACTGAGGCTGAATACAAAGCTTTAGCTGATACTGTTGCTAAAGTTACTTGGCTTGAAAAACTATTACGAGAGTTATGCGTTCTGTTAACCAAAGCACCGGTATTGTAGTGTGATAACCTTGGTGCCACTTATTTATCGGCTAATCATGTGTTCCATGCACGCACAAAGCATGTTGAGGTTCATTTTTAGTTTGTAAGAGAAAGTGTTGTTGTGAAGAAGTTTCAGTACAATTTATATCTACAGATGACCGATATATTCACTAAGCCACTATCTTCACAAAGATTTGAGGGGTTATGGTCCAAGCTACAAATCCTTACCCAGCCTTAGCTTGCAGGGGAATATTAGATAGTTATTATAGTATAGGGATTAGAGTGTAAATATACATATTATACATATCCCTCTTGTATTATGTTAATGATTAATACAATCACAATTTTAATTCTGATTTGAGCAAACATTGTTTTAATTAACAACCCTACAACAATCATGAAAGGGTACCTTGATTATGAAAGAAGATTAGGTTTGCAAGATAGCACAAATCGAAAACTCAACCACCAGACAATCAGTAGCATATTGTTAACTTTTCCTTTGAAATCATACATACGGTTATAGTGTAACGATTCATTGTTGATAGACACCACTAGTTGACATCACAACTCACAAAATATGTGACAAACTAGAACTCCAACATGAAATAATATTAGAAATTGAAAGTAGCAAGCTAGAAATCGAGAGCATTAACTCTTTACCCGACTGTCTTGTCATGTGAACCCCAGGCTATAGTCGAAAATAAAAACAAAGAAAAGAGTGTCCACCTTAAGAAAAAGGGTGAGTGAAAACTAAATTGTCTACATAATAAGTAGTTAGATGCAAATACACACCACTGGTGATCCTTAACGTCTTGAAAATGTTCTACATATAAGAACTCTATAGTCCACAATCAAAACAAAGATAACTATACTAACAAGTCATCATTGATCTAAGATATTAACATTCAAACAATCACACGGGAAGTACCACATCCACTTTTGATAATAGAACATGCGTTGTCGAATTTTATTAGTGTGCAGGAAGTAATCATAGCTCTTGTAGTGTGTTTGAGGGCCAACCCATGACTCTGGTTTAATAGCAGCAGAAGACTTTTTCTCGCTAAGAAAGAATGCATATTCTTCTATTGTCTTTTTTGGCGACACCCATTTCATTTCACCAAAATCTAGTTCAAAAACCTTGTAAGGTTGTGAAAATAGACTCATCAGATAAATATTTTCACCGGAACTTATAAGTTGTGGATATGATAAGTCCGACTTCGGAAAATTCTTGGTTTCGAGTAACGGCCATTTGTGATTCGAATTCGGATCGAGTCTAAGTTCACATACAGAAAAATCGGTGTGTAGGATATATATCTTACCCTTTAGAGCATGTAAATCAAGGATGGGGATAGTGGAGGAGACATGATTCCATCCTCGTTTACCCGCTATAGAAAATGATATATTTCTATGTAGCACAACAAACACCCACCCAGATGTTGAAGGTGAAAAGAAAAGGATATCCTTGATACTTAATTGTTCAAGAGCATGAACATATATGGGGAAGCCAGGGAAATGAAGTTCATGCCTTGTGATAGGATTCACAAGCCAGAAGTCTTGGGTTTCCCGCCCACCCAAGATTAGGTAACCAGAAGTTAATCCAAAACAAATTCTACCAGCAGAATGGGGAATGAAAGTTTTGAACCTTCGTCTTTCAAAGTCCTCCAGGTACCAATACGAATCTTCATTACTAGCACGGGAAAATACTGACATGGGCGGTTTGGAAGCCATAAATATGTTCCAGTTTGAGAGTGCAAGTGACCTCCATGACCTGCAGACTTCACTAAATGCAACGAAATCAACAACTCCCAGTTGCATCATAATTAGAAAAACCACATCATGGGTAAGATTTGACCAATATGTCACACCCATGTTATCAAAAGTCTCGAACCTCTTCGTGGTAGATGATGATGATGATGATGATGATGATGATGATGCATCATCATCGTGACTCTGGTTTCTGGCAACACTCCTTGTATTGGCCATTCCTACACTTGCAAAAGATAATTAAATACCACATAAGATATAATAGTTGTAAACAATATCAATACTATAAGTTAAACAAACAGATTATAATCACTGATTCACTGACTCCCTTAATTTCCTAGATGAAACTGATTTAAAGAATATACTAGTGACAACTGATTTACGAACAACTTCAATCAAATCACCAAAATCAATTTAATGGATATACAAGTTACAACTAATCAAAATAAATTCAATTCTAGAGTGTATTCATGATATGCATCAGACAACATAGAAAATTCTCACTGTCAAGCCAGCACAATACCACATCAGATTTATGTCATTCTTCTTCGATTAGCAACACCAAATGATATGAAGGCACATCATCAATACTCAATGACATGAAAAACAAGATTTGATGACCGAACAAAGGCCATCCACATCCGCGCAATACCAATTAGTCTTTCAAACATGCTACATCAACTTTTGAAATAACGTCTTTATCACTGCAATATTATTCATCTTTCAAAAGTGGTTCTACTACCACATCACCAATCACTTTATATTTTTTTAACTATAACAATAATGAATAATAAATTAACATAAGTATAATTATTTACAATTCAAATAAATCCAAACATTACAATATTGATCATTAGTCTCTTTAAATTGGTTTCAAATGCATTAGCAATTGAGAAATATATATATATATATATATATATATATATATATATATATATATATATATATATATATATATATATATATATATATATATATATATATAGGGTTAGGTTCATGTGAGACGACCTAATTTTGTGAGACCGTGAGACATAATCCTAGCCACTCATTTTGTAGATAAAAAAAATTAAAATGCAAAATAATTGAAAATTTTCGAAATTTTTTTTTTAAATATTATTTTCGGAATTTATATTTTCCAAAAAGAATATCAAAAAAATAAAAAAATACATTTTTTTACATATTCTAGTAGAATATTAGAATATTCTACATATCTGACAAATTTAGTAGAATATTCTAACATTCTAAAAATCACATTAGAATATTTACAGTGTAATATTCTATTAGAATATTTCATTTATTTTTCAAAAAAAAAAAAAACGGTAAATTTTTTTAATTTTTTTTAGGTAATTAAAGTTCCGAAAATAAGAATTAAAAAAAAAAGAGTTTTAGGATTTTTCCTTTTATTTTGCATTTTAAAATTATTTTTAGATTTGATCTCACGGTCTCACAAAATTAGCATGGTCTCAAATGAACCTGAATCTATATATATATATATATATATATATATATATATATATATATATATTAAATAGCATTAACCAAATATTAAAACCAATTATATATATATATATATATATATATATATATATATATATATATATATATATATATATATATATATATATAGAATTGGTTTTAATATTTGGTTAATGCTATTTAATTAAAAAAAAAGTAGTATAAACCAACTTGCATGCCTGCCTTTGAAAAGGTAAAAGACCAAATCGTACACGGCCTCTCAAATTGATGAAGTGGCATTGCAAGTATATTTGTAAGTTATCGGTCTAAAACCAACTAGTATTATACCCCACGAAAGGGTTAATGTAGCTTTCAGTCACCATCATCTCAATAATTTAAAAATAAAAGCTAAAAAAACACCAAAAACATTACTATCAATTAAACCACTTTGTGTTTCATATAGATTGATGCGAGAATATGTTTAAGCTCAATCGGGCAATGGGAAAACAATAGGCAATATGGTCTTTTGTTGTATATCTAATCAAAGAAGCAAACAGAGAAGAAGTTAAAAGTGGTTTTGTTCAGAACTACCGATATGGTTGTATTTAGTTTCCTTAGTTATTAGGAACCCCTCGCCAATTGATTTGGAAAAAATTTAAATCACAAAGCGCAAAGCGCAAAATCAATTTCCTTCAACTGGGACTTGATAATTAATTATTGAGTTGAAGTGAATCATGAATACTAAATTTTATACTGAAATTATGGTTTTCATGTTAGAATCCAAAGTAATAAATGCGTTATCAACTATCATAGTCTCATAGAGATCAAAAGTCAAAACAGCTCATCTTGCAAACTAAATTGCAACTTTACTAACTTTAAAGAGTAAATACAGGCGTTAAAGAAACAAATTAAACTGATTAAAAGATACTGAATCAATTAAGGGCAACAACTCAAATCAGGTCCATTATTAGCTCCGACCAAAATTAACGTAAAATAGTCAGATTATGACAAAAAGATCAAATTTTGTAGGCGGAAATCCATAATATAACTTTAAATCAGAGTTTGTATTACATAACGACAAGGAGTGAGCAATACCTTGTAATGAAAAAAACACGGAGTTGAGCGTAGAGCAGTTCAGACACTTTTCTGAGTACCAGAAAGATCAAAAAAAAAAAAACCATAAAATTAGAGGTGACGGGGAAACCAGGGAGGTCAAACTCAAATGAGAAACTACAATAATGCTCTTAAACTTTTAATTATCAATACCAAATCTCTTTGATGATAAAAAAAAGTCAATACATATACTAATTTCAATTGCAAAATAAACACTAGATTTATGTGTTTTTGATTTGTGTCACACTATTTTAGAATATTGTCATCTTTGGTCCTTTTTTATGTGAATTTATCTTAGCAACAATACTTTTATATGTTGATAGGTTTGGTCCCTATACAGAAAAATAAATTATAAAAACCGTCCCTATAATTTACAGAATATTGCCACCTTTGGTCCTTCTTTATGTGAATTTATTTTACCACAATATTTTTATATGTTGGCAACTTTGATTCTGTATAGAAAAATAAATTAGAAAATCCCTCTTTGGTATACCCCAAACACTCCAAATGATCCATTAGCAAATATTAGTTACATGCAATTGATAACATCTCTAATCCAACAACAACCTCTATTCACCAATCTTTCATACCACCCACACTACTACCAACAACAACAACCACCACAATTCAATCAACCCCAATTTCAAGCCTAACAACAACAACCTTCTCCGCAATTTCAACCTCAAACTTCTCAACGTCAACAACCTTCACAACCATCTCAACCTATAAACCTCGACAATAACTGTGACAACTGTCAAATTCAGGTCATTCTCGGACTTATGCATCTTTTCATTAACCATATATATACATCATGCCATGGCCTAGTAATAGATATTAGGTCATAATCTTGTAGAAACTTGGATCCAACTAAAATCTAGGACTAATATACTTGACTCTTACAATTCAAGTGAATTGTTCAATTACTATAGAGAATGTCAATACCCGAAATAAAACAAAATACAAACATTGATACAATTGAAAAAGGGTATGAAACCCTAAAATAAATTAAAATCTTCTAATTTCACTTCATTATATTTTTAAATAGCTAACAAGGTCCCAAACCCCTAAAAAGCCCTAAAAACCTAAATTTTATAAAATTAACACCTAAACTCCATAAAATTTATTATGAACCTAATAAGATCAATTTAAGTTAAAAAAAATAGTAAATATAATCATGGAAAGAAAATTTAATTATTAACATTTAACCCTAATCTACAAGTTAAATGCCAAGATTTTATGATAAGAAAACTAGGTTAATGCATAGTTATAAAAATATGGAAAATTTTATAAAAATAGGAGAGATTATAATTAGAAGAAATAAGTGAGAGGGAGACTCTCTAATACCCTCAAAAAATTCTGCCTCCCCTCTCCCAATACACCCTTCCCCTTCTCAACACACCTAATCATTTTCACCACATTTACACTCTAACTTCTTTCTCACTCTCTCTCATTTTCTACCACTTCAATCACTCAACACTCTCATTCTCCCTCTCTAACCCACGAAATTTAGCAGCCAAGAAGTTCTTCCAACACCAAAAATCATCTTCTTCAAGTGTTCTTGCTAAGGTAATCACAAAAACCAAGCATTATTCCTTCATTTCTACTCAAAATTTCACTATTTTATGCATTTCTTTCTACTTCTACTCCATTCTATGAAAAGACTTTGAACCACATACCATATCCACGATTTTGATGATGATGGTGGTAGGTTTTCACATAAAAACAACATGCATGTTGAATTTGGTGGAATCCCATGATCCACACCTATGTCAAAATCAAGATAAACCACTTTTATACAAGTTTTGGTGGAGAAATCATAATATTAACCAATGTTTTCTTTTAAAAACGATTTTCAAACTTTTCAAACTCATGCTTGGCCTTAAACCAACATGCATGTGTTGATCTTCAAGCCTAAGATGCTTGATGATCAAAGTATGTTGTTAAAATGTTCAAAGTCATGCATGAAGTGATTTAAATCCATCAAACTATCTAAAACTCATGTTTGACATGAATCCGATTTTTCCCAGAATCTTACCAACAAAATGAGAAGTTCTGTAAATTTTCTGAAAATAATTTATTTTTCTCGAATTAATATAATTATTTCAAGAAAATAGAGCAAAAATTCATATAAAATACTTTTTACAGCCAATAAATTCTGAGAAAATTTTTAGACGACCCATACACTGGTTAAAGACATTGTATGAAATTGCATGAACTTATAGGGTTGTTTTGTGTTAATTACAAATTTGTTTTTGTTAAAGAGAAATAAATAGTAAAAACGTAGTTATAAATGTCCAAAACCAAGTTTTATAATTTTCGCATCTTCTAGAGATTATAAGGAGTTGATACAAAAACTTACAAATTTTTCCATGACAATTTAGTATTTTTCCCGATTTAATGAGTTTTTAAGAGATTAAACTGATGAAAAATAGCTACACTTATCCAAAAATTATGAAACTTCATCAGAATATCATACATTACATATGAAACGCAAATAAAAATTATAGTGAATTTTAACTACTGTTAAATAGTTTTTCACGAATTAATTCTTATTTAAGTGAATAAAACTAAGAAAAATAGTTAAACTGTTTGAAAACTAACTTTGACATTTTTCCTATCTTATATATGTTAAATAACAGTGTCAGAAAATGTTTGGAGAATTTTATAAACATTTTCCTATTTATTTTGATTTTTGCTATAATAAATTCAAGAAAATCATAAAATCACCTTAATCTGTTTAAAAACCAACTTTTATATTTTTCTCAGATTATATATGATGAACAATAGTGTTACAGAAATTTTGGAGAATTTTCTTAACTGGTTGGTATTTTTCATGAATTTGTGTTGGTTTGAAGTATTAAATAAAGGTAAAATACCTAAGCATATAAAAAAATTCAAGATAAATTTTCTGGAAGTCCTTGTCTATAATTAGAATGAAAATGTAAAGTTTGATACTTTTTGGAAACTGTTTGATAACATTTTTGGATTTTAAGAGTTTGAAACACCTTTAAATATATTGAAATACCCTCAAATAATATTATAAAAATCTGGAAAATAATATACAAAATTGTCTTAAATCACTTGAGTTACAAAGTTTCACCATTTCAGAAAAATTGTTACCAATTAATATAAAACCAATATTAGAACAAAATTTAGCATTTCTCTATATGTAGAATTTAGTATATTAGCATTAGATTTAGACATAGAAACTCACTAGAGTGCGTTTGTTATCATAGGATCCCGGTTGTAAGACGTGTTGGTGTATCCCGAGGAATCACTTGTAACTTTGGAAGCATTGTGAGTATTCACCACTCCCCTATTTTCAGTTTTTATGTTTTAGGGTGGAAAAGCATGTCCAAAAACTGTTTTATTATTCGTTGTATTTAATTTGACTTGTATCAAACTTGGTTGCTATATGTTGCTATGTATGTGTATGCTATTGTTAATTCATGAGGCCTTATCGCGTTTAAGTCCCTGAAATCAATTCACACAACTCATTAACTCATTTGAGCCCATGGTCATTATGGATAACGCTATTAGGAGGTAGACAACTCCTCACTCGCACGATTCGCTTGAGTGCATTTTACCATATTTCCCTTTGTTAGCGATAGACATAGAAGAGGGCACCCTCGGTCATTAGGCTTGGGTTGTGAACTCATGATATAATCATTATGCACATACAAATCTTGTATTTCGTTTTAGCAACAAACTTTATTTCTTATGATGGCAACGAACTTATTTACTCATTTTAGCAATATACTTTTTCTTATGCAAACTTCTATCAAAACTTTGATTATGTTTCATGAAACTATATTTTTGTAAACCTGTGAACTCACCAACTATTTTTATAGTTGACACTCGTTTTACATGCTTTTTCAGGAAATAATTAGTAGGTGGTCGAAAGATTCATCATCATAAGTATGCTGCATCAAATGGAAAATGTTTTTGTGTTATTAGCTTTTGAAAAATGATGTTTATTTTGAGACTTGTCTTCGATGTGTGTTTGAAATTGTAATGTAAACTACAAATGTTTTTATGATGGTGATGTATCTTTAACTTTTGCTATGAAACCGTTATCGTTGTCATGCTTCGTGTTTCCGCTTTAGCGGAGTGTGACAATAACGATGACGAAGAATTGGTTGAAGAAACACAACCAAGTCGTAGAAGGCCAAAAAAATCGAAAGATCCAAGGAAAAAGAAAAGTATGCAGCGGACCGAAGAGGAAGAGGAAACTTTAGCTAAAGCTTGGATTTTCATATCACAAGACGGGGATGTCGGCAACGCGCAAACGGGTCAAAGCTTTTGGAATCGTGTTTTAGACCACTTCCACGCGTTAATAGGTAGGCACACGAGCCGTTCATACGACTCGGACAATGCAAAATGTTGTGACCTTCGAGCGGCTTGCACCAAACTTAACGGCGTACTAACAATCTTAAAAATATGAATAGAAGTGGTTGCAACGATTTCAACATTTTATCAACCGCTTTGTACCATTTCAAAATTACCGACAATGTTAAATCATTCGCCAACCAAAAAGTGTGGGAAGTTTGTCGTAATGGTCTAAAATGGGTCATTTATCCGGATACAACGCATTCGGGATCTACCATCGGCTCAACAATAGGGCGAGAACGTCCGAGTCGGACGTTGGTGTTAGCCTCGACCTCAATGATGAATTCGACGTCACCGAGGGGGAGGGTCCACCGGACGTCCAACTTCATCAACCACCGGGAAGGGACAAAGCGAGAAAGGGGGCGTCTTCATGCGAAATATCAACCAACGAGGATGCACTAGCGGATAAAATAGACAAAACTCTAAGTCTTTTAGAAAGAAAATTTGAATCAACGGAAGAATCTCGTCGTCGAAAAATGTCACTCACCGATCTTCAAATTTTAAACACGGTGCCGCAACCGAATTTCGACCCGAAAATTTTTAGGGCGTTTTTAAAAAATTCAGCAAGAAGTTCTCAACAAATATCACAACTAGATTCTATGTTTTTTATGCTTATTAGTAATTTAGGTTTTATTTTCTACTTTTTTTTTACTAATTTAGCTTTAATTTTCTATTTTTTTAGTTTTAATTTTCTATGTTTTTTAATTAATGTAATGTGGTTTTAATTAATGTAAAATATTTTATTATGTTTTAAGTTTATGTTTCTATTTAATTTAATCATTAAAAAAATTGTGGACTGGTAACCATTTTAAATGCCTAGTGGGTTGGTGGGTGAAGCTGACGTGCGCAGAGGTGGAGCGCTTTTCCGGTGGGTTTGTGGTGACCACTCCCCATAGCCTAATGTTTCATTTCATTCTCTATATGGTTACTATATACAAAACACTACCTTTGGTAAACCAACCGGTCCACGCCTATACCACTGGCTCCTCAATTGGACCACCATTAATCAATTAGGCTATCCTGTGTGGTTAATGGAAGATGCATGAGAGGCGGACATAGAGCCCCCCAAGACGTGTGAACACCGCCCCTAGGGCCGGTGCTTTGCTCTGACTATGGCATGGAAGCGAAGACGGATGGAGACGGGTGATTCGATTGGCCATTTGATTTTGACCGTTGGGGAGGAGGGGTTGGACATTTTTGACCATTTACTATAAAAAAAAACTAATCATTCACTTATTAATAAATTTCTCTATATATACACATTCATTTATATTTCAAACACACACACTCTCTTTCAACACAAACACATATATTGAACAAATAAAATACTCTTTCCTCATATATTTTTAAGTATCCAAATCAAAATACACCACCCACCCCAAACACTCCAAATGATCTATTAGCAAATCTTAGTTACATGCAGTTAATAACATCTTCAATCCAGCAACAACCTCTATTCACCAACTTTCATACCACCCACACTACTACCAAAACAACAACTACCACAATTCAATAAACCCCAATTTCAAACTTTTTAACAACAACCTTCTTCGCAATTTCAACCCCAAACTTCTCAACGTCAACAACCTTCACAACCATCTCAACCTATAAACCTCGACAATGACGACAACGAACGGGTTGAAGAAACACAACCAAGTCATAGAGGGCAAAAAAATTAAAATATCCAAGGAAAAAGAAAAGTACGAAATGGACCGAAGAGGATGAGTAAACTCTAGGTAAAGCTTGGATTTTCATATCACAAAACGGACATGTCGGCAACGCTCAAACGGGTCAAAGTTTTTGGAATCGTGTTTTAGATCACTTCTACGTGTTATTAGGAAGTCAAACGAGCCGGACATACGACTCGGTCAATGCAAAATGGCGTGACCTTCGAGCGGCTTGCACCAAATTTAACGGCGTATTTGACAATCTTAAAAATATACATAGAGGTGGTAGCAACGATTTTAACATTTTATCAACCGCGTTGTACCAATTCAAAATTACTAGCAATGGTAAACCATTCGCCAACCAAAAAGCATGGAAAGTTGTCGTAATGGTCCACAATGGGTCATTTATCCAGATACGGTGCAATCGGGATCTACTACCGGCTTGAACAAAAGGGCGAGAACGTCCAAGTCGGACATTGGTGTTAGCCTCGACCTCAAGGATGAGTTCGACGCCACCGAAGGAGAGGGTCCACCGGACGTCCAACTTCATCGACCACGAGGAAGGGACAAAGCGTCAAAGGGGGCGTCTTCAAACGAAAAATCAACCAACGAGGACGCACTTGCGGAGAAAATAGACAAAACTCTAAGTTTTTTAGAAAGAAAATATGAATCAACGAAGGAAGCTCGTCGGTGAAAAATGACACTAACCGATCTTCAAATTTTAAAGACGGTGCCGCAACCGAATCTCGACTCGGAAAATTTAAGGGCGTTTTTTAAAATTCAACAAGAAGTTATCGACAAATATCGCAACTAGATTCTTTGTTTTTTATGCTTTTTAGTAATTTAGGTTTAATTTTCTATGTTTTTTTTAATAATTTAGCTTTAATTTACTATTTTTTTAGTTTAGTTTTCTATGTTTTTAGTTTTAGTTTTCTATGTTTTTTAATTAATGTAATGTGGTTTCAATTAATGTAAAATATTTTATTATGTTTTAAATTTATGTTTTTATTTAATTTAATCATAAAAAAATAAAAAATAATAAAAAAATTATGGAGTGGTAACCATTTCTAATGTCTAGTGGGTTATGGTTGGTTGGTGGTGAAGCTGACGTGGCGCAAAGGTGGCAGCGCTTTTTCGGTGGGTTGCAGGTGACCACTCCCCATAGCCTAATGTTTCATTTCATTCTCTTTATGGTTAATATATACGAAACACTACCTTTGGTAAACCTACCGGTCCTCGCCTATGCCACTAGCTCATCAGTTGGACCACCATCAATCAATTAGGCTATCCTATGTGGTTAATGGAAGACGCGTGAGAGGCTGATGTGGACACCCCCAAGACGCGTGAACATCGCCCCATGGTCGGTGCTCTGACTGTGGCGTGGACGCGAAGACGGATGGAGACGGGTGATTTGATTTGCCATTTGATTTTGATCGCCGGGGGAGTAGGGTTGGACATTTTGGACTGTTTACTATAAAAAAAATAATCATTCAATTATAAATAAATCTCTATATATACACATTCATTTTACATTTCAAACACACACACACACACTCTTTCTATACAAACACACATATTCAACAAAATATACTCTTTCCTCATATAATTTTGTGGATCCAAATAAAAATACCCCCCCCCCCACCCCAAACACTCCAAATGATCCATTAGCAAATCTTAGTTACATGCAATTGATAACATCTCCCATCCAACAACAACCTCTATTCACCAATCTTTCATACCACCCACATTACTACCAGTAACAACAACAACAACCACAATTCAATCAACCCCAATTTCAAGTCTTTCAACAACAACTTTCTCTGCAATTTCAACCCCAAACTACTCAACGTCAAAAACCTTCACAACCATCTCAACCTATAAACCTCGACAATGACGACGACGATGAACGGGTTGAAGAAACACAACCAAGTTGTAGAAGGAAAAAAAATCAAAAGATCGAAGGAAAAAAAGAAAAGTACTTAATGGACCGAAGAGGGGGAGGAAACTTTAGCTAAAGCTTGGATTTTCATATCACAAGACGGGGATGTCGGCAACGCTCAAACGGGTCAAAGTTTTTGGAATCGTATTTTAGACCACTTCCACGCGTTATTAGGAAGGAAAACGAGTCGGACATACGACTCGGTCAATGCAAAATGGTGTGACCTTCGAGAGCTTACACCAAATTTAACGGCGTATTTGAACAAAGTTTTTGGGATCTACTACCGGCTCCAACAAAATGGCAAGAACGTCCGAGTTGAACATTGGTGTTAGCCTCGACCTCAATGATGATTTCGACGCCACCGAGGGGGAGGGTCCACCGGACGTCCAACTTCATCAACCACGAGGAACGGACAAAGCGTCAAAGGGGGCGTCTTCAAACGGAAAATCAACCAACGAGGATGTACTAGCGGAGAAAATAGACAAAACTCTTAAGTTTTTTAGAAAGAAAATTTGAATCAACAGAGGAAGCTCGCTCAGTGAAAAATGGCACTCACCTATCTTCAAATTTTAAACATTGTGCTGCAACCGAATCTCGACCCGGAAAATTTAAGGACGTTTTCAAAAATTCAACTAGAAGTTCTCAACAAATATCGCAACTAGATTCTATGTTTTTTATGTTTTCTAGTAATTTAGGTTTAATTTTCTATTTTTCTATGTTTGTTTTTGTAATTTAGCTTTAATTTTCTATTTTTTTTAGGTCTAATTTTATATGTTTTTTAATTAATGGAATGTGGTTTCAATTATTGTAAAATATTTTATTATATTTTAAATTATATTTTTATTTTATTTAATCAATATATATATATATATATATATATATATATATATATATATATATATATATATATATTGGTAACCATTTCCAATGTCTAGTGTGTTGGTGGTAGGTTGGTGGTGAAGTTGATATGGCGCAGAGGTGTCGGCGCTTTTTCGGTAGGTTGGTGGTGACCACTCCCCATGGCCTTAGTACTAGCAATTTTCGCAACATTGGAATAATAAAAGCTAAATCAATAAAATGGTAATAGATACATGTTATTTATTTTAGCCACCATTTTGAGAATAGGGTAACGGTGAAAATAGGTATCTTTTAAATGAGAATAATAAGAACACGATTAAAATAGTCAATACTAAATTGATATGAAAGCATATTATGTTTTTTCTATAATTTGGCCAATATAGTAAAAGAGTAAACCCCACCCCTTTGCACCCCAGCCAACAGTCCATACCCGGAAACAAGGATACATGAGTACATTGATTCCAACACCTCACTACCAAAGCAAGCATACAAGAGTACATTGATTCCAGCACCTTGAGGAATGAAAGCATATTTTATTTGATCTTTGACATCATACACTAGTTTGCAGTGTATTGATTACTTGTTAATAAACCACCACTAGTTGTCACTAGGGGATGTAAAAAAACCATGAAATCGTGGAAGAATTTGAAACTAACAAGAAAGAAATTGAGAATAATCTCTGTTACCCTTACCCTAATGATCTTATCATGTGAACAGTTGTTATGTTGAATGTTGTATAAAGTGTCCCCCGACCGAGAACAGCCAAGCTATAGTCCAAAATAAAAACAAAGATATAAGTTGCAAGAAGCAAATACCCAAATACACCAATAGTGGTTCTTAATCTCTTGAAAATGTTCTACATATGAGAATTTTATAGTCCATAATCAAAACAAAGATAAAGAGTGGTAACAAGTCACTACTCATCAAAACGATTAACATTCAAACAATCATGGGGGAAGTACCACATCAATTCATAAAAGAACATGCATTTTCGACTTTTATCATCGCCAAGGACGTATTCAGAGCTCTTGTGTTGTGTCTGAAGGTCAGCCCATGACCCGAGTTTAAAAGCAGCAGAATAATTCTTGTTTCCAATAAAGAAAGCATATGTTGCCTTATCTGGCTTCACCCATTTCATTTCCCTAAAATCAAGTTCCATAACCCTTTTCGGGAGGAACCCAGAGTAGCTCATCACATAAAGGTTTTCACCCGAACTTACAAACTGCGGATTAAACAATTTTGGGTTGGGAAAATTCTTGGTTTTAAGTAAAATCCATTTGTGCTTCTGCCTCAGACCGAGTCTTAGTTCACGTAAAGAAAAATCCATGTGTAGGGTATATATCTTCCCCTTGAAATATTGTAAATCACGGATACAAGTGGAGGAGACATGATGCCATCCTTGTATACCCGCTAAAGAAAATGATATTTTCTTGTGTAACAAAACAAACACCCACCTAGATATTGAAGGTGCAAAGACAAGGATGGTCCTTAATTTTTTTATACGGGCAGCTACATATAAGGGGTAATAAGGGAAATGAAGTTCATGCTTTGTGATAGGATTCACAAGCCAGAAGTCACGGGTTTCCCTCCCGAACAAGACCAAGTAACCACATGTTAATCCAAAGCAGATTCTGTCAGAAGAATGGGGAAGGATGGTTTTAAACCTTCGTTCTTTGAAGTCCTCCAGACAACAATAAGAGTCTTCCTTATTATCACGGGGCTCGATACTTATCTTCATGGGAGGTTTGGATGCCATAAATGTGTTCCTGTTAGAGAGTGCAAATGATCTCCATGACTTGCAAACTCCACTGAATGCAAAAAAATCAACAAACCCCAGTTGCATCATGATTAAAAAAAGCACATCATGGTTAACATCCGACCAAGATGCCACACCATTGTGGTCAAAATTCTTGAACCTCTTCCTGCTTGATGATGATGATGCATTATCATCATCATCTCGATTCTTGTTTCTGGTCGTACTCCTTGTCTACTCTTGCCCACTCCTACACTTGCAAAATGAAAATAAATACGCCATTTTATTCAACAGATAGAGTGATAACAAGAGACGTTGCTCTTCTCAAATAAAAACGCTAATATGCCATCATCTCAATAATAATAAAAAACTAAAAAAAAGAAAATCAAAAACATTAATATCAATTAAACCAGTTTCTATTTCAAATAGATGGATGAGGGAGGCTTAATAAGGTCTTTTGCTGGATACAAAAGTACAAAACTAAAACACAGAACAAGTTAAAAAATATATATTGAGAATGTAGAGATATGGTTCTATTTAGTTTCATTAGCGAGGTTTTTTTTTTTTTAGTTATTACTAATTAGGAATTGATTGTTAGTAGGGCTGTAAACGAACCGAACGAACACGAACAAAGGCTTGTTCATGTTCGTTCGTTTAATTTAGCCGAACAATCGAACGAACATGAACGGATAAACGAACAAAGTTTTCTTGTTCATGTTCGTTCGTTTAACAAATTGTCTTGTTCATGTTCGTTCGTTTATGTTCGTGAACATGCTAAACGAACATAAACGAAAGAACATAAACGAACAAAGATAAACAAACACAATTGAACATATATGAACATAAACGAACTATAATATAGTAATTTAATAAAAAACAATTGAAAATATATGAACATAAAAAAACTTAAACGAACGAACGTTCATGAATGTAAATGAACGAACGAGACAATTGTTCATGTTTGTTCGTTTAACTAAACGAACGAGAATTTGTGTTCATGTTCGTTCAAATAAACGAACATAAACGAACTTCCCGCCGAACAGTTCACGAACGGTTCGCCGAACGTTCAGTTCGTTTACAGCCCTAATTGTTAGTTCCTCTAGAAAATGGTCTATATCATACAAACAATATTGACCAACGAGATTTTGGAAACTCAAGATAACTCCGTTTCAGCTCTATCTCCTAAACACCATTGTGAGCTTGTAATTTTTCATCTTTATGTTCCAATAGCTATTTAAAATATGGATAAGAGCATGTACTCTAATTAACTTGGTAATAGTTGAATGATGTTAACCATAACAATACTTGGAAAACTGTAGTATTCCCACATGGTAAAAAATTTGTTATTGTAAATGGGGTACTTACTATTAAAGTGCAACGATGAGGATAGAGTTAATTGAGAGCTATAAGGCAAGACTAGTAGCAACACTATGATGATTAATAAGAGACATTTTCCCTAATTAATTCCTAAAATTTTGTTTGTAATTAGGAGAACAAATAGCCAACTGTTTTGGAAAATAGTCTAATTAATCATGAGTTTACATGATACTCTACATCATTGATAGGGGGTACATGTAACACATAACATATCACTAAATCCATTCATTTAACAGGGACTTGATACTTGATAATTAGTGAGTGAAGTGAACCATGAGTACTAACTTCTAAGTTCTAACCACCCCTAAAAAGATAAGAAGTACAAAATAAACTTCCATTTCAATGGTTATAAGCAGGAAGTTACCCTATGGAAAATTGGAAACTAGGGTTATTATGTGTAAATAACGTGTTAATTAACCATATTAAACTGATTTGAACTTAATTAAGAGAAAAAACTCATATCAAATCGATTAGGTCAGAGCAAACTCACGCAAAATAATCAGATTAGGACAAATGTTCAAATTCGTAAATCCATAACAGCTTAAATCAGATGATGGCATGATGCCTTAGATTTTGTAGCGTGAATGAACATCAAAGCAAATTAGGGTAACTCAACAAGCAATGGTCGAGGAAGGAAGATATACCTGCAATGATAAAGACGCGGCGTTGAGGGATTGCGGGGTTGTATTTATATTTTGAAGTTAAATGAGATGCCGAGATACGAAATGAGAAGTCAAATGGACTTCGATTACATGTATTTACATCGACAAAATTGTAAGTTTGGTCTTATGGTATAGCAAAAATTGGATGTTTGGTCCAAAAATTTTTAGAGTTTATCATGGCCCAAAATATTTCATTTGTTGTAAATTTGGTGTAAGTTAATTGAAAATATTTAAAATAATGAATTTTCCCTTTTAACTTAGTTTTTTATTTTCTTTACAACAATTAAAAAAAATATATATCTCTCTCCACACATGTCAAACCCTAGCAGCCCCCTATCGACCTCCAAACTTGTTCCAACAAGCTTAGACCATGGTTGCTAATATCACCCATGCCGCCACCTGTAGAGCCCAAATCGTCGGTGATGGTTGGATCTGTGAAGAAACCCCTTCACAAACAAAACATCGGACCTGTGAAGAAAAACCTTCTTTCTCGCCTCCAATCTGTCATTCTTTCTCACCTCTAGTTAGGGTTTCAGCCGCCACTCTTCTAGTTTTGTAGGGTTTCAGCCGTCGTCGAGATCTGACATTCCTTCACACCCTGCTTCGCTGACCCCTTGATTTATGCCAACAGCCTCGCCGGAGGCTTAACAGTCGGGAAGAAGGCAACTGGAAGAACCGGATGTCATCTCGTTTCACCGTCGTTCTCAGCTCCCTCAACCATTGTTTGACCCTCCCATCTCCGACAAATCGAACCCAGGTGTCTCCTCCTCGATTTCCAGTCACGAAGATGAAATGTTTTTGTTAGGATTTTCATCTTCGTCGATGTCTTCCTTCTTCACTTAGGGTTTTCGTCTTCGTTCTTCAGTTAGGGTTTTTTGCTTCATATTTGTTCGTCGAGAGGTTCGGGTTTGATTAGGGTGTGTGTTCATCAGATTTTGTGTTCTTGTGTGTGTGTTCATCTGATTTCGTGTGTGTGTGTTCATCTGAGTTCGTGTGTGTATGTGTGTACATCTGATCTGATTTTATGTATGATTTTTGTTTCTGGGATGATTATTTGGCAGAGATGAAGTGGTAGAAAAAGTTTAGGTGGAGATGGAAGTGGAAAACGGTGGTCGAACGGTGGTGGAGGAGGAAGATATTCTTGAGTGTTCTTGAATCTATGAATAGGTTGTTGGGTGTTTATCAAACACAAACAAACACACACACACAGAGAGAATGTCTGTTTATGTTTATGTTTATGTACTAACAATGACATCCCAACGTTTTAAAATGAATAAAAATACATTTCTTCGGAAATGCTTTGATAATGTATTTATCATGTTCTTATGGGAACAAATTCCGCAACCTATTTCTTTAAAAGGGAGACTCTGATTTTCAAATAAGCATAAATAAAATTTTTAAAATGACCGTGAAATTGGGGATGTCACAATAGGCAATATCCGGACGGGTAACTATGAGATAACCAAAATTTCCCACAACAGTGCGAAAAAGATTCGGATCGGACAAAGGAACACCATCAGTATGATAGTACCATGCATTGGTTTCAAGAGAAGTATCAATAGTCTGATTTTCAGAGAGGCTCGCATGTGTAAACAAGTCAGATATTAGTCTGAGAAAGAAGATACCCTTTCTCAGACTAAGCTACCTCAATACCCAAGAAATAATGCAACAAGCCCAAATCATTCATAGCAAATCGATGAGCTAGATCATGCTTCAAAGACTCAATACTACCATGGTCATCACAGGTAATAATCATGTCATCCACATATAAGGACAAAAGAATCTGTCCTGCACTCGAGCATCTAACAAACAAAGTTGAATCATGATTACTCTGAACAAATCCAAGAGTGGTAATCATTGTGAAGAATTTCTCAAACCAAACAGGAGGTTCTTGCTTGAGACCATATAAAGCTTTGCGAAGCCGACAAACCTCACCCGGCTAGTGCCGAATTCCTGGGGGAGGAGACATATAAACCTCTTCATGGATGTCACCATTCAAAAAAGCATTCTTGACATCCATTTGAAATATCTTCCATTGTCGAATGGATGCAACTGAAATCATAGTACGGATTGTCTCATCATAGTCAAAACCATATTTTTGGGAATACCATTTTGCTACAAGTCTGGCCTTGTACCGCTCAACAGACCCATCAACTTTTGTTTTTATCCTGTACACCCAACTACAACCAATCATATGTTTCCCAGGAGGAAGGGAAACCAAATCATATGTACGCGTCTGATGAAGAGCAGTGAGTTCCTCAGTCATAGTATTCTGCCAAAGAGGATCTAATACAACTTCTATATACTATTCAGGTTCAGATAGATTATGGATGTTTGCTATAAATAAAGCAAATGGTCCTGAGTATGTAGAGTAAACAAAATATGGAAGCTTGGTGGACTTGATAGGACGAGTAGACCTCCTAAGGGGTGGTGAAGGTGGGTCATCAATCTTAAAAGTCGAAGGGGCGGACTCAGGAATAGGAGGAGTCAAGGAACTCTTTGAAGAAGTAGGTGTGCCATGAAGTGGAGGATCAGGCGACATAGATGAATCTCGTGCCTTTATATCCTTATCAAAAGGCTCAATATGCAGAAGATCTGACTTCGTTACATTGTGGGCTGTAGCAGCTGTCGAGTAAAAAGGAATATGTTCCAAAAGGTGACATTCCGGGAAACATATAACTTCTGACTCACAGGGTCATAGCAACGATATCCTTTCTGTCCAACACCATACCCTAAGAGTACACAATAGCATATTTCGGTCCCAACCTGTTCCTCTCAACATGCGGACGAAGAACAATACAAGTACATCCAAAGAATCGTAGAGCAGAGTAGTCTGGTAGGTGACCATATAGCTTCTCAAAAGGAGACACTCATGAATTCAATGCAGTAGGGATATGATTAATCACATAAACAACAGTTAAGACTGCTTTAAGGAGTATCAATGCACAATGACTGGTGTATGGTACTATCAGAACCAAATAACTGAGTAAAACCATTAGAGGTATATTCACCCCCTAAGTCACACCAGAAGCACTTTATCACAGCTAAATGTTGAGTTTTAACAAGAGCCATAAAATTGTTGTAAATGCCAAGAAAATCATATTTACGTTTCATAAGATAAACCTAGGTATATCACTTTGCAACCACTACAATAAAAAATATCACAAGTGTTCAAATGAACCAAAACACCACTAGATGCTAGAAAATTCAAATACAGACACATGTCCCAAACGAGAATGCCAAAGATAAAACTAAGACGACAAATGACTCAAATGAAAAGAAGACAAATCAATGTTGGAGGCAACAACAACAAATACTTTGAGAACCTCCAAGACATAAAGTTCTCCCACCATACGACCGATCCCAATCACCTTCTAAGTGTGTTGCACCTGTATAACACAAATGGAATCAGAAAAGAACACCTAGTGTTGTAGCCTATAAAAACGCAAGAAATACTTCTTGGAGCCATAAATACAAAATGTAATGCAACCGATTTTCTAACAACTTGGATATAGTCCACAATATATTCATCTTATCGTCCTCGTCTTCATCATTTTTTTAAAGGACGTTGATTTAGAAAGGAAATATCGCATATAATGCATATTAACATAGCCTTCCATCGATTTGCCTACAAATACAAAATTTTGTGTGGCTCACGAGACCTTAGCGAGCTCACTTTGATGCGGATTAGACGTAAAGGAAGGTCACCAAGAAAATAATATGTTTCTCGACGAGCCTTTATAGAGCCAACTTAATGGGGAACATAATCATCGCGTTATATTTACCCATACTTTAGATGATGGTTTTGTAATAAGCTACACACATGACTTTGTAGGTATATTGAGCATTCTCTATATGGTCGGTCTTTTAGTAATGAATATATATATATATATATATATATATATATATATATATATATATATATATATATATTTATCCCTAAATGCTGAATTTTAAGATGTACAACTTCTAATACATCATATACAACAAATTTATGAATAAATAACAAATTAGATCTTATTCGGCCAAACATTGAAGAAGTCAATCAATCTCATATCGTCCCTGTTATTAAGGGTTATTGTTTTGACCTAGCTCTTTTTGTTATTTGAATTCTATTTTTAGCCATCATTTGAGCCATCATTTGAGCCGTCATTTGAGGAGAAATTTGAGGTCTAAGAAGGCTTATATCCCCCAATATCCTTTTCATTTTCATCATCCTCATTTCATACAAAATTTGGATCGACCCCTTCTTAATTTACAGAAGTAAGTGACAACTATAAAACTAGAGGACGGACAACTTTGAAGAAGGAGATTTTGATGAAACCACTTCCATTTTCTGGTGGAGTCTCAAGCAAAAAAGGTACGTAAACCCTTATTTGATGATGATCTCTAAGTTTATGTTCTATTATATTTTTATATACCTGTTTGTCCCTAATTATGTTTTTCCCTAATTATTTTCATCTGATTTCATCACAAATGTACGTGTGGGTTAGAATCTAGAAGTTAACAACGTTGATTTTGTTGTTGGATTAGGGATTGCAATTTAGATCAATTTGTGATGGCGAGTTTGATCGACGCTGTGAGAGAACCTATTCCGACATCAGCGGCGACGGCGTCGAAGCACATAGAGACTAGATGCAGAGGTGAAAATATTGCCTTCCTCAAGTGCAAGAAGGACAATCCCAATCCAGAGATATGTCTCGAGAAAGGCAGACAAGTGAGTTGTTATGTTATGTCCTTGTAAGTATACATCTTTCTGTTCATCTTGTTCGTTTTTACACATTTTCTTTCTTTTTGCTTCTTATGGTTCAACTGAAAGGGCTTTATCTTTTTAGATTCTTGATGGTCATCCTGCATAATCTTGAGAAACTCTCAATTGTGTAAGATAATTAACTCATCACTGAAGATTTGGTGTTCATCAACAAAGCTTTTCATTCGTTCCATAGTTACTCTGTTTAATAGCTCAAATAAGGTTCTTGTACTTAATGAATCTCTTATCTTACCTTTTCAAAAATTATACAGTTTAGTTTGTGGCAGGAACTAATTTATTTGGCTGTAAGAGATGACTCCATGTAATGCATCAAAGAATTATAGGCAATGGTACAAATCGACTTCAGTGGATGCTACATCTGGGTGAAGGTATTTGTTATGGCTTTGTAGAAATGTAATTGTTATCTAACGAAAAAAATTACTAAAATGCCCCTAGGTGAGTACATTACACCTTCTGTTCTTTCTTCTCTCTCTCTCTCTCTCTCTCATAGTATGTTCATGAAAACATTTTCTCTTTTGCTTTTTATGACTCAATTAGAGATTTTTCTCTTTAAATTTTATGAGAGACATCTCTCATCTTCAGTTCTTTTGGGTTCCCGTCTAGAATTATTCTACATCGATAGCTTGATATCAGGTAACTATTGATTTTCGGTTTTCATGGTTTTTCTTTCTTTTGTTTATATTTTCTAAAGTCGATTTGTGGTTAAAAAATTATTTATGAAATTGATTGGTTGATGCGCTATCAAGTAGGATATTACAGAGGATTTTTTTTTTTTTTTTTGTAGCTGATGATAATGACGTTTGTTAGGGAATAGGGAATAGATGATGATGAACCAAGGTAAACGGTCTGAGGTTTTGTTGCCTTTCATCCTAAGTGAGATAAAAAAAAGTCACTTTCTTCATTCCCTTATGTTTTTCTTCTTGGATCATATGTCAGTCATCTCCTTTGTCTCTCCCTCTATCCCTCAAACAAAGTAGATGAAATTTGACTCTCGATTCAATTGATATTGGTCTGCTCTCTATATCGATCGATTCCATTTGGTTTCAATATAAAGGCTATTTTTTTAATCATAGATTAGGGTTTTTGGTTTGGTACTTCAGATTTATGGAGACGGAGGAGGATTTTATCAATTGATACTTTATTTACTCAACAAAACACCTATATATCAAAAGTTAATATGCCAATTAAGGTAACCATCTTTTCCTGATCATGAAGCACAAGAAAATACATATAACATGTCTTTTGATTGGATTTTAGTCTAACTAAATAATTTTAGTCTTGAAGCCTTGAATCTTGATGGCAATGGCTAGAAAATGTTTTGTGTTTGCAATGGATGTTGAACAATTGACAGGGACGGTATGTATCTTTTTTTTCTTTAAATGTTTCCCTATTTACCCTTACTGTTTTTACCATTTGCTTTATTATTATTATTATTATTATTATTATGTAATTGTTGCAGGTTATAGGTTATACAAATGTCAATTCACTTAGGATGAAATCAGGTAACAACAACATCAATAAATAGAAGTGTATATTGGCATAATGCTATTGGAAAGGTGCCATAAATTGCAGGTCAAAAAAAAAGTAATAAGGAAAGTTTTTTATTATTTGAAAAAGGAAAAAAAATTGCCATACAGTAGCCATATTAGTGCAAGTATGGAAAGAATAAAACAAAAAAACGAAAATGAATGCTATTATTTAAACTTGAACCAGGAAAATTTTGATAAGTACGAACATGAACCAGGAAAACTTTGATAAGTACGATTTGCATCATTTTGTCTATATTTATGATTATTGTATGTGTTTTGCATTGTTTAATGTGTTGGCTACGTTAAGGTGGTTATCAAAACATTGAATAAACAATTATCAGAGTTTTAATCCCAAAGATCATATAGTGCGGAAAACATGGTGTGATGCGTTGCATTCGCCCCGAGCTCCTTCCTTGAAAAACATTAGTACCTGAAACAAAAGCTGAAAGTCATAAGCACAAAGCTTAGTGAGTTCCCCAGATACCACATACCATATATATCAACTGATTCATACATGCCATACATAACCATGAGCCATACATATATCATAACCAAATAAGGTGCTATGTGTCACGCATAGTCTTGCCATAGTGCCACGAGCCGCCACGTGGTCTTTCTTGCCAAGTCGGGGGCCATCCCCTGGGTCTTACAGACAAGTGCCAAGGGCCACCCCCTGGTCTTCCATGCAAGCATCACAAAGACATCTAGCATACATACTACTCTACTAGGCTAATCAGTATACAGTGTGCCAGGAGCCACCTCCTGATCTTTCATACATAATAGCATATAGTGTGCCAGGAGTCATCTCCTGGTCTTTCATACATACTACATAGGGCTAACCCCCGGGTCTTCCTACCATACATAATAACATACTGAGTGCCAGGAGCCTCCTCCTGGTCTTTCATGCATATTGCCTAGGGCTAACCCCCAGGTCTTCCTACTCATGAACTACATGGGCCGGCATTGTGGCCTTAGACCCATTCACATAGTGAGGAGACTCACCTCGAATGCAGAAGCCCTGCTGGTACTTCTCTGGCTGTTAACTGACAACTCCCTGAACCGCTACCCCTTCGGCTCCCCGAGCTATCAATACCAAATATTACTTAGTCCAACTCATAATTCCTTCTTAGGGTAAAATTACCATTTTACCCCTGATCTAATTGGTCCATGCCTAAAGCCCAAAACCATAAGGTCCAATAAAGTCCATCAATGGCCCAATTTTCCAAATTTGGCCCAAACCCTTACATGGGCCTTTTCCTAAAGCCCATTTACCTTTCTAAACCAATGACTTTCTGATGAACCAAAGGTCCAAGCCCATTGGGCCCAACCAAGGCCTAACCACATTGGGCCCACTAAGGCCCAATTCATCATACAAGGCCCATTAGGGCAAGCCTAGCAAGGCAAGCCCAACCAAAAGTCCATTACTCTAAAATCCTTAGCCCATTATGAGCCCAAACCAAAGGACAGTCCAAAACCACGCTACCCCACCATCAAAGAGTCCAAAATTTGCACAGGGGTTGTTCACGTCGTGAGCCCTTCATGCTCACGTCGTGAGGTCGTGGTTTCAATCCAGGAACTTTCTCGAATACGTAGTCACGTCGTGGGGCTTCATTCCTCACGTCGTGAGTCCAGATCTGACCAAAAATGAGCATTAAGCTCCTAATCCATTAAGCCATAACATGGGACAGTCTAGAGGGTCTTCCTTAACCCCAAGGACCATAAAAATCGAAGCTTTTTAGTCACATGTGTCCAATACATGGCTTGAATACTAGTTAGGTCAAAGGATGGGTATAAACATCAAGATTCAAACTTGAAGCTCATAACTTGCACCAAAATCTAGATCTAAGGGTTCTAGCATGGCAAATGACTCAATGGTCCATAAAGTTGCTAACTTTATGGACCCCATGCATGATACTTCAAGATCCCATGCAAAGAAGGTCACCATAACTTAGATCTAGCAAGATTGAAGGAGAAAGGTTGGATCTTTGAGACTTACAGAAGCTTATGGACTCAGAAGTGCCACTAGGAGGAGCTTATCTTGCCAAAAGGAGAGTTCCCAAGAGCTTCTTCTTCTTCAAGGGAAACAAAACACCATTAGCACCAACAATGGCTCAAGGGCTTCAATGGAGGCTTAGATTAGGGTTTCCAGAGGTCTTGGAGGTAAAAGAGGCGGAGTAGAAGCAACCCTAATCATCCCATACCTTTAAATACCCGAAAATAAGGGTTTTGGTGCATCAGGTGCGTCTCACGTCGTGAGCCCTTATTGCTCACGTCGTGAGCCTTAAATGAACTTGGTCAACAAGTCAACGATCACTCACCCGGACCACTCCAACTTCAAACGGCCATAACTTCTTCGTTTCAACTCCGTTTTTGACGTTCTTTATATCCACGGAAAGGTGGCGAGAAGCTCTACGCATCTATCAACTTATCCTCACCTCCAAACATTCCGAACGGAAATCCAAAATTCATAAAGAGCTCGAACTGTCACTTTACCGATTTGCCCCTTGGCTCCAATGCACCACCCAACTCCCGGATTACCTCCAATACATCGTTCGTACCTAAATGGGTCTAGATTTCTCTCTCCCAAAGGCCCTAAGCCTTATGATAACCCATCTTCAAGCCACAGTCCCGAATTAGAAAAACGATTCGGAACACGGCGTTACAAGTCACCTTCTAAACTACAGAGCCGGAGACTATGCAATTAAAGTGACCATTAGTGTATATTTTGCAAAATATGTTGAACGTTTTGGTCAATTTTATTTAACCTATTATAGCATATCTAATTTTATGTTAACCTATTGGAGTTATTTTTTACTATTTTTGTAATACTTTGACAGTTTATCGTCAAATTTTTGTTAACCTGTTGTTATTTGTTAAGGATGACTTAAAGGGTAATGTTTTTTTGTTTGAATACTACATGAAATATGTGTGTTTGTGTGTGTCATGTATAGTATGTTTAAAATAGTCTGATAGTAGGTTAGCAACTGTGGTCCTCATTTGGGCTTTTTATTAACAAAACATAGAAGTGCTCTTCGATTAAAAATGACATGAAGTGCTTTCTAATTTTAAAATGCTCAAAAATCTCCATCAAGAAAAAGTTGATAATTTGCTATTAAAAAATAAAAATAAACCATGTCTAAAGAAATCCAGAAAATACAAAGTAGATTGTTATTTTGGTAAATTGTTTGCTGATATTTCAATTAATAAGTTATCTGTATTTATTTTCCATATCATGTCGTAGTCTTTCTATTTAACTATTTTGTTTATTATTTGTCTATTTCAGTAGGGTTTTTTTATCAAAGCAATGTAGAGTGTTATTTGACAATTTTTGTATTTTTTTGCAAAGTAGGTTGCTATTTTCTAAAATTACATTTTTTATGCAAAATAAGTAGTAATGCTGCTATTTATTGCTTTTTAATCTATTGACAACATATTGGCTTCAGCATAATTTAGTAAAATTCGTTAATATAGTCTAGAAGTGTCCTAAATGCCCGAAAAATATCTTATTTCATCCAAAGCCATGAGTTTTACTTATTTTCCATTCGTATTGAAAATAATCCAATCTGCAAGATTACAAGACAAAGTGGTAATGCTCAACTACTACGGACTACAAAAATAATCATATCGTATGAAGTGTCGATGGCTAAAAGACATGCATTGGAGGTGTTTGACCGTACCATGAAACATAACTGGTGTGAGGCTCCCATTTGGTGGAAAGATAATGGTTTTGGGAGGTGATTTCAG